GAGTGAGTGATGATGGTGAGTGGGTGAGTGAGTGAGTGAGTGAGTGAGTGAGTGAGTGAGTGAGTGAGTGAGTGTGAGTGAGTGTGAGAGTGAGTGAGTGGGTGAGTGAGTGAGTGAGTGAGTGAGTGAGTGAGTGAGAGTGAGAGTGTGTGTGTTTCTCACCTCCTCCTCGTCCTCATCAACAAAATCTGAAACACAGAAAGGTTAAAAAATAAAAAAATATTCGGGTCAGTACAGAGTGTGTGTTACAGTGTGTGTCACAGTGTGTGTTACAGTGTGTGTTACAGTGTGTGTCACAGTGTGTGTCACAGTGTGTATTACAATGTGTGTTACAGTGTGTGTTACAGTGTGTGTCACAGTGTGTGTCACAGTGTGTGTTACAGTGTGTGTGTCACAGTGTGTGTCACAGTGTGTGTCACAGTGTGTATTACAATGTGTGTCACAGTGTGTGTTACAGTGTGTGTCACAGTGTGTATCACAGTGTGTGTCACAGTGTGTGTTACAGTGTGTGTTACAGTGTGTGTCACAGTGTGTGTCACAGTGTGTATCACAGTGTGTGTTACAGTGTGTGTCACAGTGTGTGTCACAGTGTGTGTTACAGTGTGTGTCACAGTGTGTGTCACAGTGTGTATTACAATGTGTGTTACAGTGTGTGTCACAGTGTGTGTCACAGTGTGTGTTACAGTGTGTGTGTCACAGTGTGTGTCACAGTGTGTGTTACAGTGTGTGTTACAGTGTGTGTCACAGTGTGTGTCACAGTGTGTGTGTCACAGTGTGTGTCACAGTGTGTGTCACAGTGTGTATTACAATGTGTGTCACAGTGTGTGTTACAGTGTGTGTCACAGTGTGTGTCACAGTGTGTGTTACAGTGTGTGTTACAGTGTGTGTCACAGTGTGTATTACAGTGTGTGTCACAGTGTGTGTTACAGTGTGTGTCACAGTGTGTGTGTCACAGTGTGTGTCACAGTGTGTGTTACAGTGTGTGTCACAGTGTGTGTCACAGTGTGTATTACAATGTGTGTCACAGTGTGTGTCACAGTGTGTATTACAATGTGTGTTACAGTGTGTGTTACAGTGTGTGTCACAGTGTGTGTCACAGTGTGTGTTACAGTGTGTGTGTCACAGTGTGTGTCACAGTGTGTGTTACAGTGTGTGTTACAGTGTGTGTCACAGTGTGTGTTACAGTGTGTGTTACAGTGTGTGTTACAGTGTGTATTACAGTGTGTGTCACAGTGTGTGTTACAGTGTGTGTTACAGTGTGTGTGTCACAGTGTGTGTCACAGTGTGTGTTACAGTGTGTGTGTCACAGTGTGTGTGTCACAGTGTGTGTGTCACAGTGTGTGTTACAGTGTGTGTGTCACAGTGTGTGTGTCACAGTGTGTGTCACAGTGTGTGTTACAGTGTGTGTCACAGTGTGTGTTACAGTGTGTGTCACAGTGTGTGTTACAGTGTGTGTGTCACAGTGTGTGTTACAGTGTGTGTGTCACAGTGTGTGTCACAGTGTGTGTTACAGTGTGTGTGTCACAGTGTGTGTTACAGTGTGTGTGTCACAGTGTGTGTCACAGTGTGTGTGTCACAGTGTGTGTTACCTGCTCCTGCGCTGTGCTCACACACCTCGTAGATCTTGTACGGTTGGACAGGCGTCTCTTTGGTCCCGTCGTACTTCAGCTGGAACTCTCGGCTCTTGTTCAGAGCGCAGCGCAGGTTCGCCTTCCACTTCGCTGGGTCCGGCTCATCCAGACCCTCCTGGTACTTCCCTGTCTCCAGAGCCCAGGCCTGTGAGACACAGAGCAGGGTTCACATACCCACTATCAATACAGACTGCCTGTGAGACACAGAGCAGGGTTCACATACCCACTATCAATACAGACTGCCTGTGAGACACAGAGCAGGGTTCACATACCCACTATCAATACAGACTGCCTGTGAGACACAGAGCAGGGTTCAGGTGTGTGTTGTGTTAAGGTACAGTAGGACAGGTCACTGTTGTGTTCAGGTGCAGTAGGACAGATCCGTGCTGCGTTCAGGTGCCTGTTGTGTTCAAATGCAGTAGGACAGGTCAGTGTTATGTTCAGGTGCGTGTTGTGTTCAGGTGCAGTAGGACAGGTCCGTGTTGTGTTCAGGTGCAGTAGGACAGGTCAGTGTTGTGTTCAGGTGCAGTAGGAAAGGTGTGTGTTGTGTTCAGTGCGTGTTGTGTTCAGGTGCAGTAGGACAGGTGCGTGTTCTGTTCAGTGCGTGTTGTGTTCAGGTGCAGTAGGACAGGTCCGTGTTGTGTTCAGGTGCGTGTTGTGTTCAGGTGCAGTTGGAGACCTTGAAGATGGTGTCCTCCTGCTCTGGGGGGCTGTGTCGTGTTGCATGTTTCCAGGGGACCCTGAAGAGGCGCAGTTCAGGGTCCAGCCACTGCAGTCCGGAGAAACGGCCGCTGCTCACCTGGGCCAGGAGCCAGGGGCGGAGCCTAACTCTGCGGGGGGGGGGCGCTCATTCTGGGGAACATTCTTATTATTACATTGATTTACTGAAGTTTTACTGTGAAGCTCTGGTGACCCTGATGTCTTTGAATGCAGCTTCTCTCTCTGGTTTCAGTATTTATCACAATAAATAATAATGTAATACAAATAATAATAAGTCTCTGGATTCAACAACAGGAAGTCCAGCTGGTGTCACTTCCTTAAACGCTTTGGGAAGTCATGAGACCAGATTATAACTTTATAAACAATTAATAAAACAAGAGATAGAGTGTGTGGGTGTGTGTGTCTGTCTGTCTGTCTGTCTGTCTGTGTGTGTGTGTGTGTGTGTGTGTGTGTGTGTGTGTGTGTGTGTGTGTGTGTGTGTGTGTGTGTGTGCCTGTCTGTCTGTGTCTCTCTGTGTGTGTGTGTGTGTGTGCGTGTGTGTGTGTGTGTGTGTGTGTGTGTGTGTGTGTGTGTGTGTGTGTGTGTGTGTGTGCCTGTCTGTCTGTGCGTGTGCGTGTGTGTGTGTGCTCACCTCTGTATCCTCTGTGGCGCTGCGAACGCAGTGAAAACAAACAAACGGAAATAAACGTATACTTTAGTTAAAGTTAAAGTAACCAAAGCGGAAGTGAATCCGCACGGCCGTGGCTCAGAGAAACTTCACAAACTCCGGAACACAATCAATGCGACACAATGAGAAAACTACTTCCTGTTAGGTGCACAAAATAAAAGCTCGAATTAGAAAATAAGAGTCCAAACCTGTGCGTGTGTGTGGTTTGTGATATTTAAAAATACAAAATAGAAAAAACACGACATTAGTTAAAGTGGACCTATCATGCTATATTTAAATGATATATTGTAGGGCCATACCTATATAAGGTATATTTATACGTTTCTGTTTTCAAAATACCAAACAGATCATGCATTTTAGCCATGCCTCATTTCGCTCTATGTGCTGTTTGCTGTCTACGGGTCTGATTCTGCTGACCACGCCCCCCTGCAGGAGAGGGGAGACTGCTCTGATCAGCTGCTGGGCTGTCAGAAGAGGGGGAGAAAAAGAGATCTCCGTCCTCCGTGTTTTATTATATATATACAGTCTATGGTTTTATTATATTATTATAGGCCTATAGAGTCGTTATTCATTTGTTTTAAAGCTCAATAAATAACAAAGAAGACCTTTGACCGCCACTTTTCTAATTTTGTCCGGAAGATTTAAACTTTAACGGACATCTTGACCGGCGAAAGAAACTGAAACTCTGCCGCACGGTCCCCTGGTTCCTTGGAAGAGGCGGAGAGGTGGGTGTTTGTCATCTGCTGGTGGACTAACCGGAGAGAATTACAGTGCTTGCCTCGACGGGGAGGGATTGCATTGAATTAAAGCAGCGGGAGCAAACGCTTGCCTCGGGGAGGGAGAGAGAAAGCCACAGCGGAGAATAAACAGAAGGGTAACCATGGTAACTATGGGCGGGAAGTCTTCTTCGCTGCTTTTGTGGCAGACTACAGCGCCACTTACAGGCCTGGCATATGTACTACAGCGTCTCCAGCGCTTTCGAGCAGCAATTAGCGCGTTCACACCAAGTACTTTTCCCACAGTAGTTCATGAGAGTTCTTTTAGTTCTGATGAACTAAAGCAGATCGCGTTCACACTAAAATGAGTTCCTGGGGGTGGATTAGGCAAATGAGCCGCTGACGTCACTTCTTCTTCTTCTGCTTTGGGTTTACTGGCAGGCCGCAAACAACTTCACGGCGAGTACAGTAGGTGGCGGTATGCACCTTAAAGTTGCAATCCGCCAAAAAACCGAGAGAAGAAGAAAACTTCCGCTTCCGCTGTATGCTTCTGTTTACCTTCCGACCTCAGACACGGTATGGAGTTGACGTTTTGGTGGTCGTGTTATACAGCTTCGTAACTGAGTTATTTAAGCCAATAACTCAGCCACAAATACAGATCGACCATTCAAATGCAATAGAAATGCTGAGTCGGAGGCGAAGGCGGTTAAGAAGCCTTAACAAAAGGATTGGACGACGAAAGCACACGCTATGGACATGTTTCGCCGTAGGACAGCTGAGCATGATGACCGTTATCACGCCCAAAGAACAGCAATGGTACGTTCAGTAAATCACATTAATACTATCTAACGTTGGATTTATGGAGTTATGTAGGGCTAATTTGTGTCTTTGTATGTGTTCCAGATATGCGAATACTACGGAACGCGTCGTGTCCCGCGCTCTCTCTGGGTGAACAATAGAACATTGGCCTGGTGGGAGAAGGTGGTGCCAACGTACACCAATGTGCAGTGGATCAAAGATTTCCGAATGTCCAAGGGCTCTTTTCAACTCCTCTGTATTCGCCTGGAAGCAACGTTGGGGAGACGCAACACCAACAACCGGGAGTGTGTACTCGTGCCTAAAAAAATCGCCGCGGGGCAAGAGACGCACAGCCCTTATGAGGCATCTGAACAGCCCTGAACAGCCCTTATGAGGCATCTGAACAGCCCGTATGAGGCATCTGAACAGCCCGTATGAGGCATCTGAACAGCCCGTATGAGGCATCTGAACAGCCCTGAACAGCCCTTATGAGGCATCTGAACAGCCCTTATGAGGCATCTGAACAGCTCTTATGAGGCATCTGAACAGCCCTCATGAGGCATCTGAACAGACCTTATGAGGCATCTGAACAGACCTTATGAGGCATCTGAACAGCTCTTATGAGGCATCTGAACAGCCCTCATGAGGCATCTGAACAGCCCTCATGAGGCATCTGAACAGCCCTCATGAGGCATCTGAACAGCATGGAAATTGTAAATTGACAATAAAGCTGATCTTTTGTACAGTGCATTTGATTCTCTTTTATTTACCAGTCAACAGACACAATTACAATAGTGCAGACACACCTTAGTGCAAAGATGAAATGTCAGTATCAAAACAGTACTCATACTGTATATTTGTATATTAATATGAGTATATTATTATGTTAAATGTGTGTTAAAGACAATGGGATGAGGTTGAAAGCTCTTTAAAAAGCTTTTGTATAACATCTTTACTGTGATAAATACATACATGTTAAGCATACACACCTGAAGAACTACGTTACACACACACAGGTTAGTCTGTGTACTGCTGCACTGCTGCTGGTTTAAACAAAGACAGTCATGATGCTCGTGCCGTGCAGCAGATCATCTTCACTGTGTGTTGTCGCTCCCCTGATCCGAACACCAACGCACCAGACCACTGCACCACACGCCTCCCAACAAGTCATTGTACAGTTTATCAACGACGACAAGTTTTTCTTAATTTTTATATTGAAGGCCTGTTGGATTTAATCAGCTCGCTTAGCACTGCCAGAAGCCCAGCCTGAAAGGTATTTTGTTTCTCCACCTGGCGCGCCGACACCTCCACCTGGCACGCCGACACCTCCACCTGGCGCGCCGACACCTCCACCTGGCGCGCCCCCGAGTCAGCATGGCGCTGCATCACCATGAGCAGCTGGTCGTCCGATTCCTGGGCCTTGTGTGAATGCAGCAGCCGTTCGTCGTGCATCTCCTTGGCACGCAGGTCCTCATTCTCCTTGCTGACCATGGCACGGCGGTCCATCGCCATGATGGTGTCAAGGAAGCTGTCATCCCGTGCCCGCTTTCCTAAGAGGAGAAATAAGCAAGATACAAGATCAGTTTAATCGCCTAGTAGGTTGTCAACAGAGACAGCATTGGACATGGTGCAGGCAGGGACAGTGTACAACATGCAGGTGTAAAGTAGAAGATAAGATAGCATCAAATAGCTGACGCTCAAAGTGCCCTTATTTATTGTTTTAGTGCTTAATGTACGCTTGAACTTTGTCCAAAAATGATAAGTTTTCTTACCGGCAGTCATGTGACCTCTAGCCCGGATGTTTATGAGAGTGAAAAGGGCGCTAAAAGTGTAAACGATGTATTTTCACGGTGTTTCATAATTGTACCAAGAAGGAAATAAACGTGATTAGTGGAGATCAGTTCGATGCGTAACGTTCTTTCAAGACCAGAGTAGTTACAGTGTGTTTGTACGTACTTTTGCGTTTGGATGGTTGAAAAGGAGACGAGAAAGTGCTGCTGTTGTGATCCGGAGGGGAAAGCTCACTTGTTTCCAATCCAGAGAGTTGTCCTGCCTCGCCTGAAGTAAAAAGGCAAGGCAAGGCAAGGCAAGTTTATTTATATAGCACCTTTCAACACAAGGTAATTCAAAGTGCTTTACAAAAATGGAAGACATTTTAAAAATGGCATTTAAAATCAGTCATTAAAAAGGAAAGATAATAAAATAAACATTAAAAGAAAAAATACATGGATAAAAGTTAAAAGTTACAGTGCAGTTTAAGATGTGAATAGTTCAATTAAAAGCAGCGGCAAAAAGAAAAGTCTTCAGCCTGGATTTAAAAGTAGTAAGAGTTGCAGCGGACCTGCAGGTTTCTGGGAGTTTGTTCCAGATATTCGGAGCATAATAACTGAATGCTGCTTTACCATGTTTAGTTCTGACTCTGGGGACAGAAAGCTGACCAGTCCCTGAAGACCTGAGGGTTCTGGATGGTTCATAATTTAGCAGTAGGTCAGACATGTATTTTGGGCCTAAACCATTCAAAGCTTTATAAACCAGCAACAATATTTTGAAATCTATTCTTTGACACACAGGAAGCCAGTGTAAAGACTTCAGAACAGGAGTGATGTGATCCACTTTCTTAGTGTTAGTGAGGACTCGAGCAGCGGCGTTCTGAATTAGCTGCAGCTTTCTAATAGATGTGTTAGTGAGACCTGTAAAGACACCATTACAGTAGTCCAGTCTACTGAAGATAAAAGCATGGACAAGTTTTTCCAAATCCTGCTGTGACATTAGTCCTTTAATCCTAGATATGTTCTTTAGGTGATAGTAGGCTGATTTAGTAACTGTTTTAATGTGACTGTTGAAACTCAGGTCAGAGTCCATGACTACACCTAGATTTCTGGCTTTATCTGTTGTTTTGAACATTGCAGACTGAAGCTCAGCGCTAACTTTTATACGTTCTGCCTTGGCTCCAAAAACCATTACCTCAGTTTTATCTTTGTTTAATTGGAGAAAGTTCTGACACATCCAGTCATTGATTTGTTCAATGCACTTACTCAGTGTTTGAATTGGAGCATAATCTCCTGGTGAAATTGTTACGTAAATTTGTGTGTCATCCGCATAGCTATGGTAACTTATTTTGTTGTTTTTCATTATCTGAGCCAGTGGTAGCATGTAGATGTTAAAGAGAAGAGGCCCCAAGATGGAGCCTTGAGGTACCCCACATGTCATATTTGTCAACTCAGATGTGTATTTACCTATAGAAATAAAGTTTTTTCTGTCCTTTAAGTAGGACTCAAACCAATTTAGAACTGTTGCCGAAAGTCCCACCCAGTTTTCTAGTCGGTCTAGTAATATGTTGTGGTCAACAGTGTCAAATGCAGCACTGAGATCTAATAATACTAACACTGAAGTTCTGCCACTGTCTGTGTTTAAGTGGATGTCATTGAAGACCTTTACAAGAGCAGTCTCAGTGCTGTGGTTTGGACGAAATCCTGACTGGAACACATCCAAACAGTTATTTAAATGCAAGAAGTTACTCAACTGTTGAAATACTACTTTTTCAATGATTTTACCTAGAAATGGCAGGTTTGATATTGGCCTGTAATTGTTCATTACTGAGGCATCTAGATTATTCTTTTTTAAGAGCGGTTTAATGACTGCAGTTTTCAGGGCCTCTGGAAAAATACCTGAGTGAAGAGATGTGTTTACTATATGAAGTAGATCTGAGGCCATGCAAGGAAAAACATCTTTGAAAAATCCTGTTGGAATAATATCAAGGCAGCAGGAGGAGGATTTCAGAAGTTGAATAATGTCCTCTAAGTTTTTACCATTAATCTGATGGAATTGTGTCATGGTGTTTGAATTGATATTAGGTGGACATAGGGACAACACACCTGCTGTACCTGATGCAGAGGCACTGACTGCTTGTCTAATTTTCTGAATTTTGTCAGTGAAGAAGGAGGCAAAATCATTGCACGCCCTGGTGGATAGAAATTTAGAGGCTACTGACACTGGGGGGTTAGTTAGTCTGTCGACGGTAGCAAACAAGGCACGTGCGTTGTTTTTGTTTTTGGTAATGATGTCAGAGAAGAAAGACTGTCGTGCGTTTTTCAATTCCAAATGATAAAGGCCAAGTCTCTCTTTATAGATTTCAAAGTGAACCTGGAGATTTGTTTTTCGCCACCTACGTTCAGCTTTTCGACACTCTCTTTTTTCTGTTCTCACGGTCATGGCCTTTCTCCATGGAGATATTTTCTTGCTAATCACTTCCTTTACCTTAGTTGGAGCAATGGTATCTATAACATTTTTAATTTTTGAATTAAAATGATCTACTAGCTCATTTACTGAGATGTTAGCAGGGGCAAGTGTGGATGAGAAATTATGAGTAAACATTTCCCTAGTATTTTCAGTTAAATATCGCTTTGTGGTTACCTCTTTCTGAACATTTTTGTGAACAGAAATAGAGCTCTCAAAGAAAACACAGGAATGATCAGAGAGTGCAACATCAGTCACCACAACCTTTGAGATATTCAGACCCTTTGAGATAATTAAGTCCAGAGTGTGCCCCTTATTGTGCGTGGGCTCCGCCACATGCTGAGTCAGTCCATAGTTATCAAGAACACAAAACAGTTCTTTAGCCCCTCTGTCCTGGGGGTTGTCAACATGGATGTTAAAATCACCAACAATGACTAGACGGTCAAAGTCAATACACACTATAGACAGCAGTTCAGTAAAGTCATCAAAAAAGCTTGCACAGTATTTGGGTGGTCTATAGATATTTAGGAACAGAGCTCGAGAGGAGCATTTCAGCTGAAGGGCCACATATTCAAAAGAAGCAAAGTCCCCATAAGATGTCTTCCTGCATTGAATGGAATCATTGAACAAAATAGCAACTCCACCCCCTTTCTTATGCATTCTTTCCTGACTCATAAAACTAAAGTTGGGAGGGGTTGATTCGATAAGAACAGCTGCACTGTTATTTTGTTCAATCCAAGTTTCCGTTAAAAACATAAAATCGAGATTGTGCTCAGTGATAAAATCATTGATTAAAAATGTTTTTCCTGCCAAAGACCTGACATTTAATAAAGCTAGTTTAAGTTTGTTAAATACACTATCAGTAAAACATTTTGTGACAAGCTGTGGCTGACATGGAATCACTGCTAAATTTGATAACCTCACACAAACGTTTGAGCACTTCCTGTTTCTAAGCTGATTTACCGCTCTTAATCTATTACCTATCAACACAGATATCGGCAAAGCTACTGGCAGGCAGGGCCCCGGCATGTGCTGGAAAGAGTTGAGAGTGCCATATGCCCTTGAGCCTGGACCCAGAACATATCAGTAAAAGATATGATTCTACACTGTATTGAAGTGAACATGTATTATTTTGAATTGTATTTTAGTGAACATGTATTGTTTGAACTGTTTTAAGTAATCACATATATAGAAATGATATTCTCACTTACAACTCACTGACCCAGAGATCCTGTTTCACACACACCTCCTTTTCACCAGCGCACACACATGTTCTTTTTCAAGGTCCTTATGGACATCATTATATTTGTGCACAAAGGTTTAATTGTATGAGAAAGAATAGTTTATGTGAAAAACTCCCATGGGAAAGTAAGGGAGTGAATACCGGTGCAGAGATAAGATTGACTTTGACCTTGTGAAACTTTAGAATCTCACGTTCTGGTCAGAACTCTGATTCGCTGTATTGAACCCGACCAGGAGTGAATCCAACCAGTAAAAACACCTGGGGGATGTGAGCAGCTCATACAGCTCCTCCTCACGGACTCTCTCATTCGCTTTGGAGTAAAAGGGGAAGGGAAGAGTCAACACATCTCCGCCCCAAAATATGATTATGAATACTGTTGTTTTTGAGTGTAAAATGCTTCTGGTTTGCTGAAAGCTGGTGCTAGAGACGGTAAACCGCATCACAAACCTGGAGTCCATACTTCTCGTTTTCTGAAAGCTGGTCTGTCTACCTGTAAAACCGCATCACAAGCCTGAAGTCCGGAGTACTCTGTATAACTTGTATATGTGTTTGGTTTCCTACCAGAGTAAACTCAGATAATTGTTATAACTTTTGATTCCGGTGTTTTCAATTCCTTTCTTTATTTAATAGAGATTCAGCCTCATCCAATGAACGGCGCGTAGCAGAGGGGGTGGCTATCAGCCACCACAATAGGTGTTCTGCTCCAACACGCCTGAAACACACGATTAGTGCCATGAGTTAGTGAAGCAAATTACAGAAAACATTACACACTTATTCACAAGTCAAAAACGTTTTCATAGCGGCCGAGAATGATGTTATTAGCCATGCTAGGCTGAACTGGCTAGCAGTGTTAGCCAGTTCTGGCTAGCATGGCTAGCTCGATCTACTGAGCAAATAAAAGTACATCTGAGACCAGTATTGTGCAGATTAAAACAGTGCAGTGCCTGTAGTTTATTTTACCTTCGTAGTAGTCGTCGTTGGACAATTCACAGGCCACTGAATCCGCCGTTTCACCACAAGTGCCGGAGAATGAGGGTCTGTCGCCGAGCAGAGCATCCAATCGATCATACCATTTACGGGTCTTCCGGCCGTTACCACTCTTGTTATTATGGTCTTTTATTTGTTTGTAGTCCTGCTTTAGTTTCTTTATTTTGTCCCGGCATGAGTGTGCGCTGTGGAAGATTCCCATGTCGGCTAACTTTATCGAACAACGCTGACACATTTTGCAGTTGGAAACTGCCTTCAGTAGAAGCTGTTGGATCCCATCCTCCGAGTAAATCGCCAGACGTGCCGACACATCCTCATCACTCCACCGCTCCGATGATTTTCGTATTCTTATTGTTGCCATAATAACTGCTTTCACAAAAGTACTCTCGTTGGTGCGCTGGGCTAATAATGCCAGCAAATACAATGGCCACTCCAAAAAATATTTCAGTTAAACAGGGCGTGGTTTGCATTCCGCACAGCCAATCAGACGTATGAACTATTTTCTCCCACAACAGTCCCTGCTCTCTAGCAGGGACTGAAAAGCGGGTCAGATGAACTAATTTGAACTACTTTAGTTCCTGGGGCTTTTTGGTGTGAACGCAAATATATTGTAGTTCTGATGAACTATTGTGGGAAAAGTACTCCGGTGTGAACGCGCCTAATGGCCGGCCGTGGCCTAACCATGGCCTAACCATGGCCTAACCATGGATGTATAATAAGAACGGGCCCAACTCCACATTCCCCTGATAGGTGGAGAGTTGGCCCAATAGCCATAGCGCCACCGTCCTGACGTCAGGACAGTGTTCAAATCTGGATCAGTGTTGATCAGATCCGTTGCAGCCCCTTTTTTAGGGATTTGGGTATGGAGGAAAATAGAGAGGGTTGTGTTTTCTGACTCTTGGTGAGTTCCCTGGAACACCGGGGACACATATTCATGTATAAAAGACGTACAAAAGTGCATTTTGCATGATAGGTCCCCTTTAAATTGTATGTGTGGTGTTTGTTTTATTGTGAAGAGTTAGCTGGTGAGAGATTGTGTTAGCAGTTAGCAGGTGAGAGATAGTGTTAGCTGGTGAGAGATAGTGCTAGCAGTTAGCTGGTGAGAGATAGTGTTAGCTGTTAGCTGGTGAGAGATAGTGTTAGCTGGTGAGAGATAGTGTTAGCAGTTAGCTGGTGAGAGATTGTGTTAGCTGTTAGCTGGTGAGAGATAGTGTTAGCAGTTAGCTGGTGAGAGATAGTGTTAGCAGTTAGCTGGTGAGAGATCGTGTTAGCAGTTAGCTGGGGAGAGATAGTGCTAGCTGTTAGCTGGTGAGAGATCGTGTTAGCAGTTAGCTGGGGAGAGATAGTGCTAGCTGTTAGCTGGTGAGAGATAGTGTTAGCTGGTGAGAGATAGTGTTAGCAGTTAGCTGGTGAGAGATAGTGCTAGCAGTTAGCTGGTGAGAGATAGTGTTAGCTGGTGAGAGATAGTGTTAGCAGTTAGTTAGCTGGTGAGAGATAGTGTTAGCAGTTAGTTGGTGAGAGATAGTGTTAGCGGTTAGCTGGTGAGAGATAGTGTTAGTTGTTAGCAGGTGAGAGATAGTGTTAGCAGTTAGCTGGTGAAAGATAGTGTTAGCAGTTAGCAGGTGAGAGATAGTGTTAGCTGGTGAGAAATAGTGTTAGCTGTTAGCATGATGCATCATGTAAACGCCAGGTACAAAATGATTTCAGATTAACCAGTGAGTTTGAGAATCAATCAATATTTTAATTTCAACAAAAGAACAATCTGAGAAAAAAATCCATAAATAAGAAATCTGGAATATATTTATATTTACACAATTCAGATTTAAACCAGACTCTTAATATCAATTAGATATAATATAATGTTTCTTCTCCTGATGTTTCTTCTCCAGTGGCCTGTACTACGAAGCAGGATTAGCGGTTAGAGAGAACTTCAGGGTTAACTCTGGGTTAGAGAGGTAACTTCAGGGGCGACAAATTACTGACTGTGTGAACGTGAAAATTAATAGAATATCACCTCCCATCTTCAGAGCAATCTGACTATTATAACATTAGTGTTAAGAAAGCTTACTTAAATATCTGCCAGAACATAAGTAACCGGATCAGAGTAACATTACGTACAGTCCGCGGCACTGTGAGTGCAGACGTCGATGTGTCCCATTATCATTCATATCACATCACATCATAATGTATCATATATTTCCTTATCTGAGTCAGCTGAGCCGTATCTGGCCGTGCAACACTCACAGTGTCACATACTGTATGCAGAAGTATTATTTTAAGCAACACATTAAGTTGACGAAACACTCGAGTCAAATGTAATTAAAGTCAGATCGTGTCTTGGACGGGGCAGTGATATCATAAACCTGTTAATGTACGCATTCAAACACTTGTTCTGTTACCAGCTGTATTCACCTTGCAGGTGCAGCTATGTGGCTTTGATCCTGGATAAAGTGTTTAAGTCATGGATGTTTAAAGTTTAACTTCTTCATATGTCTAATATTATAGTTTACTTTTCATTCAGGAAGTATGACGCTGCGCTGTCAGTGCGCTTCTCCATGTTTGTGATTGGTCAAATGTGGCTAGCCCCGCCCCTTTCATGTGAACGCGCTCTCAGCCGGACAGAGAAACCCTGGCTTGAGTTACCGAGTTGATAACCAGCGTCGTAGGACCGCTTAGCGAGATCTCTTTGTTAGGGTTAGTTAAGATAACTCAGAGAGATCCAGGGTCTGTTGAACTGGATTCAGAGTACAGGGCACAGGTGTTTCTTCTTCAGGTTAGGGTTAGGACACTGTGTAAATTATAAAGGGTTAAATCTGCTTTACTACCCAGAGGAGCACCTGAATGCACCTTTTATCTGCTTCCCGTTCCATGGGGACAGGATGTGCGCCTGCATTTCAAAGTGGAGTTGGTCCCTGAAGGCAGCAACTCCCTGGTTTTGAGTTGGTCCCTGAAGGCAGCATCTCCCTGGTTCCGAGTTGGTCCCAAAGCAGCATCTCCCTGGTTCTGAGTTGGTCCCTTAAGGTAGCATCTCACTTGTTCTGAGTTGGTCCCTGAAGGCAGCATCTCCCTGGTTCTGAGTTGGTCCCAAAGCAGCATCTCACTTGTTCTGTGTTGGTCCCTGAAGGTAGCATCTCCCTGGTTCTGAGTTGGTCCCAAAGCAGCATCTCACTTGTTCTGTGTTGGTCCCTGAAGGTAGCATCTCCCTGGTTCTGAGTTGGTCCCTTAAGGTAGCATCTCCCTGGTTCTGAGTTGGTCCCTGAAGGCAGCATCTCCCTGGTTCTGAGTTGGTCACTGAAGGCAGCATCTCCCTGGTTCTGAGTTGGTCCCTGAAAGCAGCATCTCCCGGGTTCTGAGTTGGTCCCTGAAGGCAGCATCTCCCTGGTTCTGAGTTGGTCCCTGAAGGCAGCATCTCACTTGTTCTGTGTTGGTCCCTGAAGGCAGCATCTCCCTGGTTTTGAGTTGGTCCCTGAAGGCAGCATCTCCCTGGTTTTGAGTTGGTCCCTGAAGACAGCATCTCCCTGGTTTTCAGTTGGTCCCTGAAGGCAGCATCTCCCTGGTTTTGAGTTGGTCCCTGAAGACAGCATCTCCCTGGTTCTGAGTTGGTCCCTGAAGGCAGCATCTCACTTGTTCTGTGTTGGTCCCTGAAGACAGCATCTCCCTGGTTCTGAGTTGGACCCTGAAGGCAGCATCTCCCTGCTTCTGAGTTGGTCCCTGAAGGCAGCATCTCACTTGTTCTGTGTTGGTCCCTGAAGGCAGCATCTCCCTGGTCCAATGGGATTTCTCCCTGTGACTTATGTCAGTGATATGATACTTACACGTTTAGCTGAGCAGATGATCTTATTAAACTCTTTATGATTGAAGTGAAAAGGAACTACAGGTGATGCTAACCGTTAGCTTCCCCCGACACACAGAGACACTGAAACAGGAAGTGACACGGTGGTTTCAGTTGTTTTTGTTTATTGTTTACAACAAGGCTACATCACCGATGATGTCATGGTGTCAGTCTCTCCGTCTCATTACCCAGAGTTCACTCTGTCTCGCTTTGTGGAAAAACAACTAAAAGTCAACCAAAGTTAAAAAGGTCAAAGGTGACGCCAAACCTCCAGCATTACGCCTCGCAGCCGCCGCTTGGCCAAGAGCATCATGGGAAATCTTTTGGCTCTTTGTATGGCACGGACAGAAAACATCACGACCAAAGTCCCAAAAATAAATCTTCTCTTAAAAACTGCTCGTCCACTGATGAAGACCCTGAACGCATCAGTGCACACCTGACCCCGCCCACCTGATCCGGCTGCAGGTGAGCTCAGGTGAGATCGAGGGGGGGGGGGGGGGGACTGTGTCCAATCAGTCCTCTCTGTCAGTCCTTCAGAGCGTTTTCCTGTTTCACATTCAAAGTCCTCCATCTTTATCTCCCTCACCTCCGTCACCTCCGGATCCTCGTCTGCAGTCGCAGCTTTTTGCCGTCACCTCTGAATGTTGGTCAACAAAAGATTAACCTGGAGAACAAAACAAACAAGTCGTCTTAGTTACCTTCAGAGGACGTTTGCTACAGTTACCCGTGTGTGTAGTTACCCGTGTGTGTAGTTACCCGTGTGTGTAGTTACCCGTGTGTGTAGTTACCCGTGTGTGTAGTTACCCGTGTGTGTTACCCGTGTGTGTTACCCGTGTGTGTTACCCGTGTGTGTTACCCGTGTGTGTAGTTACCCGTGTGTGTAGTTACCTGTGTGTGTAGTTACCTGTGTGTAGTTATCTGTGTGTAGTTACCCGTGTGTAGTTACCCGTGTGTGTTACCCGTGTGTGTAGTTACCCGTGTGTGTAGTTACCCGTGTGTGTAGTTACCCGTGTGTGTAGTTACCCGTGTGTGTAGTTACCCGTGTGTGTAGTTACCCGTGTGTGTAGTGTAGTTACCCGTGTGTGTAGTGTAGTTACCCGTGTGTGTAGTTACCCGTGTGTGTAGTTACCCGCGTGTGTAGTTACCCGCGTGTGTAGTGTAGTTACCCGCGTGTGTAGTGTAGTTACCCGTGTGTGTAGTGTAGTTACCCGTGTGTGTAGTGTAGTTACCCGTGTGTGTAGTGTAGTTACCCGCGTGTGTAGTGTAGTTACCCGTGTGTGTAGTGTAGTTACCCGTGTGTGTAGTTACCCGTGTGTGTAGTGTAGTTACCCGTGTGTGTAGTGTAGTTACCCGTGTGTGTAGTGTAGTTACCCGTGTGTGTAGTTACCTGTGTGTGTAGTTACCTGTGTGTGTAGTTACCAGTGTGTGTAGTGTAGTTACCCCTGTGTGTAGTTACCTGTGTGTAGTTACCTGTGTGTGTAGTTACCCTTGTGAAGTTACCTGTGTGTGAGAAGGTCGCAGCTATCGGTACAGTCTGGTGAACTCTCTGATGGCCCAGCACACCTGTTTACACTCCTCCGCACTGAGGACCACAACAAACACAAACATTACCAAACCACTTCCTGTTTAGTGTTCAGGTAAACTCAGGTGTGTTGCTGTTGATTAGTGTTCAGGTAAACTCGGGTGTGTTGCTGTTGATTAGTGTTCAGGTAAACTCGGGTGTGTTGCTGTTGATTAGTGTTCAGGTAAACTCAGGTGTGTTGCTGTTGATTAGTGTTCAGGTAAACTCGGGTGTGTTGCTGTTGATTAGTGTTCAGGTAAACTCAGGGTGTGTTGCTGTTGATTAGTGTTCAGGTGAACTCAGGTGTGTTCCTGTTGATTAGTGTTCAGGTAAACTCAGGTGTGTTGCTGTTGATTAGTGTTCAGGTAAACTCGGTGTGTTCTGTTGATTAGTGTTCAGGTAAACTCGGGTGTGTTGCTGTTGATTAGTGTTCAGGTGAACTCGGGTGTGTTCCTGTTGATTAGTGTTCAGGTAAACTCGGGTGTGTTGCTGTTGATTAGTGTTCAGGTGAACTCAGGTGTGTTCCTGTTGATTAGTGTTCAGGTAAACTCAGGTGTGTTGCTGTTGATTAGTGTTCAGGTAAACTCAGGTGTGTTGCTGTTGATTAGTGTTCAGGTAAACTCAGGTGTGTTGCTGTTGATTAGTGTTCAGGTAAACTCAGGTGTGTTGCTGTTGATTAGTGTTCAGGTAAACTCAGGTGTGTTCCTGTTGATTAGTGTTCAGGTAAACTCAGGTGTGTTGCTGTTGATTAGTGTTCAGGTAAACTCAGGTGTGTTGCTGTTGATTAGTGTTCAGGTAAACTCAGGTGTGTTGCTGTTGATTAGTGTTCAGGTAAACTCGGGTGTGTTGCTGTTGATTAGTGTTCAGGTGAACTCGGGTGTGTTCCTGTTGATTAGTGTTCAGGTAAACTCGGGTGTGTTGCTGTTGATTAGTGTTCAGGTGAACTCAGGTGTGTTCCTGTTGATTAGTGTTCAGGTAAACTCAGGTGTGTTGCTGTTGATTAGTGTTCAGGTAAACTCAGGTGTGTTGCTGTTGATTAGTCCTGTGTGCGCCTCAGGCTGACAATACACATGTCCTACTGTTCATAAAGTCCCTGAAGGTGTCGGTAATAAAACACCTGTACATTGAATGGTGGTGCAGATTCAGGTGAGCTCACCTGGTGACCTGTTTGTGGAAGTCAGTCAGCTGTTTGTGAGTGACCGTCACCGCCCCCCCCGACGTCTCCTTAGGCAACGCCTTCAGAGCGTTTTCTAACCAGCGGCAGAACGTCTGGAACAGAGTTTAGAAACACAGGGTTATTATTCAGACCTGTAGGGATCAGACCCCCCCTGATTATATTCTCAATACTGATCATTAACCCCCCCTGATAATATGTACTGATAATAACCCCCCCACTCACCGGACGGTCGAACAGCATCACCTCCCACAGCACCTCGGCCACGTCGGGCAGGGTGTAGGGGGGGAGGCAGAAACAGCAGGAAGTCATCAGCTGGGTGATCAGCTGCTGGCCGTGCTGCCCCATGGCCTGGCCAATCAGCTGCTTCCTCAGCTCAAAGTCCTCCTCGTGCTGCACACACACACATATTATTCACCGTCTCTACACCTGGTTCCTGAAGGCTACTCATGTTGTTGGAGACTCCCGTGTGGATCAGGTCTCATGAACTTTATACACATATTACTCACTAACTCCCTAGGCCCGTCCCTACGCCCGTCCCTACGCCCGTCCCTAGGCCCGTCGCTACGCCCGTCCCTAGGCCCGTCCCTAGGCCCGTCGCTACGCCCGTCCCTAGGCCCGTCGCTACGCCCGTCCCTAGGCCCGTCCCTAGGCCCGTCGCTACGCCCGTCCCTAGGCCCGTCCCTAGGCCCGTCCCTACGCCCGTCCCTACACCCGTCCCTACACCCGTCTTTACACCTGGTTCCTGAAGGCTACTCACATCGTTGGAGACCCCCGTGTGGATCAGGTCTCTCATGAACTTCATGACGCTGCAGTTTGCATCGCGGTGGTCCAGAGACGCTGCTGCCACGGCGCACTGGATGATGTGAACGATGATGCTGCTGCTGAGCAACGTGACCGGACTCCTCTGCACAAACCTGACACACACAGATCAGACGGGTAAATATCAGACAGACGGGTGGATGTCAGTGAGACAGGTAGATGTGACAGGCTTACCTGGTGGCCAGTCTGAACAGGTCGTCCACGGTGTCCGGATGGTTCCTCAGACCGTTCTGCATCTCCAGCAGCTGGAAGGTAGGCATGCACAGAGCCTGGGGGGAGGGGGGTCATCAGGAGAGTCTGTAGGTGTGCGTGTGTGTACATGGTCTACATGCATGTGTGTACCTGGTCTACAGGTGTGTGTGTACCTGGTCTACAGACGTGTGTGCATGTACCTGGTATACAGGTGTGTGTGTGTGTGTCTGGTCTACATGCGTGTGTCCCTGGTCTACATGCGTGTGTGTGTCCCTGGTCTACAGGTGCGTGTGTACCTGGTCTACAGGCGTGTGTACCTGCTCTACAGGCGTGTGTACCTGCTCTACAGGCGTGTGTACCTGCTCTACAGGTGTGTGTTTACCTGTAGCATGTCGAGCAGGCCCTGCCTACAGCCCTCCTCCATACCGTACTCGTCCACCAGAATGCTCCCCAGGTACAGGAAGCAGGAGTGTGGATACACCTGGTACACACTCACCATCTGGTGACAATAGACAGCACACAGGAGTGTTAGTTCTAAACCGTGGACAGGTGTGTTAGTTCTAAACCGTGGACAGGTGTGTTAGTTCTAAACCGTGGACAGGTGCGTCTCACCTGCGTGACGAGTGGCTGCAGCAGGTTGGCGGATCCCTTGCCGACACACCTCACAGCGAACCTGAGACAGCGACAGCAGCGCTCCACGATCCTGTTATCAGCCTGATGAGTGTTCAGAGTGTCTGACAGCACGGGCCAGATCTACAGGCGAGATATTTTACAGACAGCTGAGATATATCATACACACAGATGAGCACAGCTGAGATATATCATACACACAGATGAGAGCACAGCTGAGATATATCATACACACAGATGAGCACAGCTGAGATATATCATACACACAGATGAGAGCACAGCTGAGATATATCATACACACAGATGAGAGCACAGGTGAGATATATCATACACACAGATGAGCACAGCTGAGATATATCATACACACAGATGAGAGCACAGGTGAGATATATCATACACACAGATGAGCACAGGTGAGATATATCATACACACAGATGAGCACAGCTGAGATATATCATACACACAGATGAGAGCACAGGTGAGATATATCATACACACAGATGAGAGCACAGGTGAGATATATCATACACACAGATGAGAGCACAGGTGAGATATATCATACACACAGATGAGAGCACAGGTGAGATATATCATACACACAGATGAGAGCACAGGTGAGATATATCATACATTACAGGTGAGATATTATACACAGTTGAGATAAGTTCATAGAGGTCTGACACCATCTGATCAAAGTGATCAAGGTTACTTATTTCATAACATAGGTTTTATGAGTAGATATTAAAGGACTCCGGTGGCTTCAGGAAAGCTAAGGTGTTTACCTCCTGAATGACTTTCTGACAGGGATGAGTCTGTCCATTCTCTACGATGGGGTTTGTGTGTCTGAAAGGAAAAACAACAGGTTAAAGGTCTGTGGCTTCGTTAATGTATATTGTTATTATTTATAATGCCGTCACTTAAGTTATAAATGTGACCACAGGTGAGCTCACCTGAAGATAACTGCCAGTCTGTCGAGCCACACGGTGGGGTCAGCTGATTTACCGTTAGTAGATTCTTCAGACAAAAGCTGAAACAAATACCAGATTAGTTTAGACATTGTATTTGATTCGGAATTTACCTGCGGGGTGGGGGGGACTCACCTTTTTAAGAGCCAACACCTGAACAGCACAGAGGTCAGAGAGACACTCTGCGATCTTCTCCAAGGGAAGACGAGCCAAGACCAGAGCCGTACCTGTACAGGTAAACAAACACAGTAAAACACCTGAGGACCAGAGGCCTGTACTACGAAGCTGGATGTTCTCTTAGCTGACTTCAGGGTAAACTCTGGCTTTCCGGTCCTACGACGCTGGTTCTCTTTTTAGCGGGCTAGATTTCCATGGTAACTGATGCTGAGCGACAAACCTGCTCCGGAGCAGGAGCAGCTCCGTGTGCGGAGTTTAAAGATATCAATTCATATTACAGGATAGAGGAAATACAGAAAAACTGCCGTTGCAGGAAAGACGGCCGGCAAAAATCAACTGACTGTGTGAACGTGAACATTAATAGAATATCCCCTCCCATCTTCAGAGCAATCTGACTATTATAACATTAGCGTTAAGAAAGCTTACTTAAATATCTGCCACAACATAAGTAACCGGATCAGAGTAACATTAAGTACAGTCCGCGGCACTGTGAGTGCAGACGTTGATGTGTCCCATTATCATTCATATCATATCACATCATAATGTATCATATATCTCCTTATCTGAGTCAGCTGAGCCGTATCTGGCCGTGCAACACTCACAGTGTCACATACTGGATGCAGAAGTATTATTTTAAGCAACACATTAAGTTGACGAAACACTTGAGTCAAATGTAATGAAAGTCAGATCGTGTCTTGGACGGGGCAGTGATATCATAAACCTGTTAATGTACGCATTCAAACACTTTCTCTGTTACCAGCTGTATTCACCTTGCAGGTGCAGCTATGTGGCTTTGATCCTGGATAAAGTGTTTAAGACATGGATGTTTAAAGTTTAACTTCTTCATATTTGACTAATATTAAAGTTCACTTTTCATTCAGGAAGTATCACGCTGCGCTGTCAGTACGCTTGTCCATGTTTGTGATTGGTCGAATGCTCCAAATACCACCCCTTTCATGTGAACGCGCACCTAACTAGATAGGACACGGCTGGCTTGAGCGATCCACTTGATAACCAGCGTCGTAGTACAGCTTAGCGCCAGCGCGTATGTTTTGGCTTAGGCCAACCGGCTAACTCAAACATATCCAGGTTAGGTTGAACCAGCTTTTTAGTACAGGCCTCTGAGCTCTACCTGTACAGGTAAACAAACACAGTAAAACACCTGAGGACCTGAGCTCTACCTGTACAGGTAAACAAACACTGTGACACACCTGAGAACTAGAGAGAGATCTACCTGTAACCCTAACCCATTGTGACCCACCTGTACCGTACCTGTACAGGTAAATAAAAAACATTGTGAGCCCTCACGCACCTTTGAGCAGTCCTACGGCAGCCTCGGTGGATAGGGCGAAGGTGTCAAGGGCCCGGGCGATGTCCAGCAGTCCCTGGAAGTGTTGGGCCATGTGGTCTCTGCACACCGAGCAGATGTTGTGGATCGACTTCGCCGCCGCCGACGCCAGAGGCTGTTCCCTGAGTCCTTTCATCAGGTAGTTCAGGACGGGGTCTGACAGGAAGAGCAAACACACAAAATAAAAGTCCTTTCATCAGGTAGTTCAGGACGGGGTCTGACAGGAAGAGCAAACACACAAAATAAAAGTCCTTTCATCAGGTAGTTCAGGACGGGGTCTGACAGGAAGAGCAAACACACAAAATAACAGGTTTTAGATTCAGACGGAGAACCCTTACCGAGGAACCTGGGGTTTCTGTCAACCACTTCGCTCATCTCTCCCACCAACTCAATGCTCGTGAATCGGACCGCTATGTGTACCGTCTCAGGAAGTAAGACCACCTGCTGCAGAACCTCGGCGAGCGTGGGGTTGTTTTCTCTGCAGAACCACAACCACAGATTAATCATCATCACAGAACCAGAGATCATTCATCATATAAATATGTTCTGATGACTCTCTGACCATAAAGCAAAAAAACTCACGGATCAACGCTCTTAGCAATCGCAGCCATGATGAACAGAACGGCCTCTGTCACCTCCCAGGACGGGTTCCCTTCTTTTAACGTTGAATACAACTGTAAACAACACAGAACATCTTTAGAGCAGGAGGTACAGAACAGAGTAGGAGGTACAGAACATCTTTAGAGCAGGAGGTACAAAACATCTTTAGAGCAGGAGGTACAGAACATCTTTAGAGCAGGAGGTACAGAACATCTTTAGAGCAGGAGGTACAGAACAGAGCAGGAGGTACAGAACAGAGCAGGAGGTACAGAACATCTTTAGAGCAGGAGGTACAGAACATCTTTAGAGCAGGAGGTACAGAACAGAGCAGGAGGTACAGAACAGAGCAGGAGGTACAGAACAGAGCAGGAGGTACAGAACAGAGCAGGAGGTACAGAACATCTTTAGAGCAGGAGGTACAGAACAGAGCAGGAGGTACAGAACAGAGCAGGAGGTACAGAACAGAGCAGGAGGTACAGAACAGAGCAGGAGGTACAGAACAGAGCAGGAGGTACAGAACATCTTTAGAGCAGGAGGTACAGAACATCTTTAGAGTAGGAGGTACAGAACATCTTTAGAGCAGGAGGTACAGAACAGAGCAGGAGGTACAGAACAGAGCAGGAGGTACAGAACAGAGCAGGAGGTACAGAACATCTTTAGAGCAGGAGGTACAGAACATCTTTAGAGCAGGAGGTACAGAACATCTTTAGAGCAGGAGGTACAGAACATCTTTAGGAGCAGGAGGTACAGAACATCTTTAGAGCAGGAGGTACAGAACATCTTTAGAGCAGGAGGTACAGAACAGAGCAGGAGGTACAGAACAGAGCAGGAGGTACAGAACAGAGCAGGAGGTACAGAACATCTTTAGAGCAGGAGGTACAGAACATCTTTAGAGCAGGAGGTACAGAACAGAGCAGGAGGTACAGAACAGAGCAGGAGGTACAGAACATCTTTAGAGTAGGAGGTACAGAACATCTTTAGAGTAGGAGGTACAGAACATCTTTAGAGCAGGAGGTACAGAACAGAGCAGGAGGTACAGAACAGAGCAGGAGGTTACAGACAGAGCAGGAGGTACAGAACATCTTTAGAGCAGGAGGTACAGAACATCTTTAGAGCAGGAGGTACAGAACATCTTTAGAGCAGGAGGTACAGAACATCTTTAGGAGCAGGAGGTACAGAACATCTTTAGAGCAGGAGGTACAGAACATCTTTAGAGCAGGAGGTACAGAACAGAGCAGGAGGTACAGAACAGAGCAGGAGGTACAGAACAGAGCAGGAGGTACAGAACATCTTTAGAGCAGGAGGTACAGAACATCTTTAGAGCAGGAGGTACAGAACAGAGCAGGAGGTACAGAACAGAGCAGGAGGTACAGAACATCTTTAGAGCAGGAGGTACAGAACAGAGTAGGAGGTACAGAACAGAGCAGGAGGTACAGAACAGAGCAGGAGGTACAGAACAGAGCAGGAGGTACAGAACAGAGCAGGAGGTACAGAACAGAGTAGGAGGTACAGAACAGAGCAGGAGGTACAGAACAGAGTAGGAGGTACAGAACAGAGTAGGAGGTACAGAACAGAGCAGGAGGTACAGAACAAAGCAGGAGGTACAGAACAGAGTAGGAGGTACAGAACAGAGCAGGAGGTACAGAACAGAGTAGGAGGTACAGAACAGAGCAGGAGGTACAGAACAGAGTAGGAGGTACAGAACGGAGCAGGAGGTACAGAACAGAGCAGGAGGTACAGAACAGAGCAGGAGGTACAGAACAGAGCAGGAGGTACAGAACAGAGTAGGAGGTACAGAACATCTTTAGAGCAGGAGGTACAGAACAGAGCAGGAGGTACAGAACAGAGCAGGAGGTACAGAACAGAGCAGGAGGTACAGAACAGAGTAGGAGGTACAGAACATCTTTAGAGCAGGAGGTACAGAACAGAGCAGGAGGTACAGAACAGAGCAGGAGGTACAGAACAGAGCAGGAGGTACAGAACAGAGTAGGAGGTACAGAACATCTTTAGAGCAGGAGGTACAGAACAGAGCAGGAGGTACAGAACAGAGTAGGAGGTACAGAACATCTTTAGAGCAGGAGGTACAGAACAGAGCAGGAGGTACAGAACAGAGCAGGAGGTACAGAACATCTTTAGAGTAGGAGGTACAGAACAGAGCAGGAGGTACAGAACAGAGCAGGAGGTACAGAACAGAGCAGGAGGTACAGAACAGAGCAGGAGGTACAGAACAGAGTAGGAGGTACAGAACAGAGCAGGAGGTACAGAACAGAGCAGGAGGTACAGAACATCTTTAGAGTAGGAGGTACAGAACAGAGCAGGAGGTACAGAACAGAGCAGGAGGTACAGAACAGAGTAGGAGGTACAGAACAGAGTAGGAGGTACAGAACAGAGCAGGAGGTACAGAACAGAGCAGGAGGTACAGAACATCTTTAGAGTAGGAGGTACAGAACATCTTTAGAGTAGGAGGTACAGAACAGAGCAGGAGGTACAGAACAGAGCAGGAGGTACAGAACATCTTTAGAGTAGGAGGTACAGAACAGAGCAGGAGGTACAGAACAGAGCAGGAGGTACAGAACAGAGCAGGAGGTACAGAACAGAGGAGGAGGTACAGAACATGTTTAGAGTAGGAGGTACAGAACGGAGTAGGAGGTACAGAACATCTTTAGAGCAGGAGGTACAGAACAGAGCAGGAGGTACAGAACAGAG